TGGCTTCCACACAAACTCTTGGTTTAGCGTTTCTGGAAGTTCAAAACTCAAAATATGAATCTGATTTGTTCAAGATTTTTGATTGCTTTATTGATTGTCATGGTTCGGTTGATGTAAATCTGTAGTAGCACTTGTAAATCTGAAATTGGTTTTGCCTTTTCTTTCAGTTTGTGAGAAAAAAATTCCTTACTCTTAGATCAATTTACCAGTTTTGGGTAGAATATCAATGAAAAGATGTGCAATTCCAATATTTTTATCGATGAGTAGCTTAATCGGCTTCGAAGAATAATCCTAAAGATTTTTTTATTAGAATTGGAGATTTCCGATTTCGAAAATTTTACTTGTTTTGGGTGGTTGCGAAAACATTTGTTTGACCAAAATTCAAACACAACTTTCAACCTATCCGCCCATCGGCTCGAACCCAACCCAACCCAATTTTTTAGCACTTTAAGGTTTTTTTTATTCCTCCACATTTTTTCTATCGAATAGTTGAGTCGAGAGAACATACATCTAGGACAGTTAGATCGACTTAACTTCTAACCCTCTCAATTTTCCTCTGAAACTTTTAGTAATGTAAGTTTTTCAATATTTACACTTTTGGACGGTAATTAAATCGACGCCGCGGTTAATTCTGGCCGTTTGAACCTGTTTCAAATCCTATAAAGGTTGTTTCTGCAAAAAAAAAATTGTAAAATCATTACCCTCGTAACAAAAAAATTCTTTAAAAAATGAGTTTTGACCTTTGAAATCTGTTGTAGCACAGATATCTTGAGTGAATAGACTGTGATGTTAATGAATAAATAATTTTTTCTGAGTTCGATAAAGTATCAGTCAAGGGCAATTTTGTTTCACTTTTTTAAGAGCCATAGAGCTCCCATTCCAAACAGAACTGTATGTAACTATTTTTTTGTTTATTCAATAAACCATAAATCAAAATCACATGAATAGGCTGTCTGGAGATTAGTTTGCAGACAAAACTGAAGGCTACATTGAGTACTTCGGCCGAACTTCGGTATGTTTACACTGTGCTGGACTTATCTTTCGACCGTGCTGAACCTATATTTTGACTTTTTCGACCAAAATTGGGTATGTTTTGACTCTGATCGACCTATGTTTCGACTTTCTCGAACAAAACTCGGTATGTCTAGCCCTTCTCGAACGAATTTCGGTATGTTTTAACTGTGCTGAGTTTATGTTTCGACTGTGCTCGATCTATGTTTCGATTTTTTTGACCAAAACTGGGTATACTTCGACTATGATCGACCTATGTCTCGACTTTCTCGAACAAAACTCGGTATGTCTAGACCTTCTCGAAAGTATTTCGGTATGTTTTAACTGTGCTGAGTTTATGTTTCGACTGTGCTCGATCTATGTTCTGACTTTTTTGACCAAAACTGGGTATACTTCGACTATGATCGACCTATGTCTAGACCTTCTCGAAAGTATTTCGGTATGTTTTAACTGTGCTGAGTTTATGTTTCGACTGTGCTCGATCTATGTTTTGACTTTTTTGACCAAAACTGGGTATACTTCGACTATGATCGACCTATGTCTCGACTTTCTCGAACAAAACTCGGTATGTCTAGACCTTCTCGAAAGTATTTCGGTATGTTTTAACTGTGCTGAGTTTATGTTTCGACTGTGCTCGATCTATGTTTCGACTTTTTTGACCAAAATTGGGTATGTCTCGACTTTGTCGACCAAAACTCGGTATGTCTAGACTTTCTCGAATGAACTTCGGTATGTTTTAACAGTGCTGTGTTTATGTTTAGACTGTGCTCGGTCTAGGTTTTAACTTTCGCGACCAAAATTGGGTATTTTTTGGCTTTTTGCTCAACTTAAAATTGCTTTTCGACCACGGAATTACATTCGCAAAACTGCAATTGCTCCAGTTTCAAAGTCAAAACTTAAGTCGAGCACATCGACCCGGGTATTTCCAATTTTAATTGATGGGGATTGATTTAACTTGTTTGATAAACTAATTGAAGCTCATCAACCTTTCGTGTAATGTCTCGAGCGCAGAAGTCGATGACTCGATCTTAACATCATATTGAGAGTATAAAACATATATGAAAGTATGAAAGTAGAAAAAAAATGAAATATGGAGGGTGGAAAAAGCCAAAGATGGTGAGTTTTGAGAGCCCGTATCCCAGAAAGAACTCTAAATTGGATAGTATTTTACATTGATAATCTAACCTAATAGTTTGGGTTTTATGTACAGATTTTCTCACTTTCATATTCAATATTGGAATTTAACAATTTCTAGATCTCACTAAGCAAATTCCAATTGGTTTTATTTTTGACGTTAACAACTGTTTGTTTGAATTATATAGCTTCGAGTTTTGCATACCTTAAAGCGTAGCGGTCATCACATTTTGTTGTTCCGAGCATTTGAAAAATGTGAAGGAAGGTTGTATTCGGCTTTGTATTTGGAACTTTGTATTCGGAGTTTTAATAATCTTTTCCTTTTTTGTTTTCCACGCAAAATCAGGTACCACAAAAGATTATTGGAATGCGTTGAGTGATAATTCTTATTGAAGACCTTGCAGCCAAGATTTGAAAAACATTGTAAAATTATCGAAAAATTGTCTCAAATTTTTTTGACTTATTTCAATTTCGAGCAAATAAAACGAGCGAGCAGGCTGACAACAGCCTATTGATGCCTAATTTACGCCCTTAAACTTAGTTTTCAGGAGGTTTATTTAGTTTTTGGGGTGTTGAGTCCCTTTCTAGGAGCCAAAAAACCTTTTTCTTGTCATAACACTCTACAATTTGTCTTATTACTGTGACGCTTATGCTTAGGCTATCACACCACTCAGAAAAAAACTCAGCTAATATGTACAAAATAATAATAATTTTGTACTGTTTTCAAGACTCTGGTCGGAATCGGCTATCCTTGTTTTTGCCTAGATTTAGAACTTTTCTGTCTGAAAAAAAGATCAGAAAGGAACTATTTGAGAACATTCTGTGATTCATCAATTCTTTTCGAGATTAATTTTATATCCATTATAGGTACTGTTGTTTTCCTTTTTATGAAATTTGTATTTGTATATTTACATGCCGGAAAAATAGCCATATAGAAAATAGCCAAGTGAGTTTTTTTACAGCCCGCATCAAATGAAGAACTTTAAATTGGGTGGTGTTTTTACGGCGCACAGACAATTCAGCCAATTTGAAATTCAGACAATTCAGCCAAAAATATACCGACAATTCAGCCTGAGACAATTCAGTCAGTTTTACAAAATGCTAGATTCGAAAGAAAAAATATCGGAATCGGAGTTATTTCTCGGTTTAAGAACGCCGGTGAGGGCGCTAGGCGCACGTCGCCGCTTCGCGGCGATAACCGACTCCAAATTTCGTATAGAGTCCTACCCTCTGTTGACAAGCTCGCAACAAGTTGGCGCGACTGCGGCGGTCACTATTATTGGCTGAATTGTCTGAATTTCAAATCGGCTGAATTGTCTTTGGCCGAATTGTCTGGACGCGGTTTTTACAATGATAATCTAACCTAACAAATTGAGTTTTCTGTAGAGGTGTTCTCAATTTCTTATTCAAAATTAGATATAATTATTTCTAGACTTTCCTAATTTAATTGCAATTGGCTTTATTTTTAAAGCTAAAAACTCTTAGTTTGCATTATATTGCTTTCAATTGCGCATATCTTAAGGTCATTTGGCTTGCCGCACTGAAGTTTCATGGATATTAATCGATTATATTGTATTTTTATTGTCAGTCTCTACAAAATAACAAAAATAATTGATCATAATTTATTGAAAATGGATTATAATGATAACATTTTCTAAGCAATGAAATCCCAATATAATCGATTATAATCGATTATAATCGATTATAATCGATCATTTTCAAAAAATTTTATAAAAGAAAAATAATCCATTTTAATCGATTATAATGGATTATATTCTATTTATTCAAATCTTTTTATGTTTTTTTCATTTTTTCATAATTTTGTTAAGCTTAAGTTAAGTATTTTGTTCTTTCGCTTAATTTCATTTTTTCCTATTTTCAATCCAGTTATGAAAAATTACAAAAAGTTACCTATAGATGCCACACAAAATCCCCCCTCCCCCACGCTTACTTGTACTACAGTTAGATGTCCCCTATCTAGAGAGGGAGGGGGTACGTTGTAGTTGGGGGTTACGTGGGGGGATGGGGGCATGTGAGGGGGGCAAGCTTCACCCAAGCAATCTATCCTCCACTCAAAATCCTTACAAGCAATCTATCCTGGGAGAAGTTGGGTTGACGTAGGGAGCTGATCAAAAATGCTGTTTTGGGCACTTTTCGGAAAATTACTACATATTGGTCGCCCCTGGATGAACGTGTTCGCTCAAGTTTTGCAGAAAATTGCAGAAATTAGAGTCATTATTTACAAAATTTAATCAATTTTCTTGGATTTTATGTACAAAAAATAATCCATTATATTGAAAAGTAAAATGGATTATAATCGATTATAATGGATTATAATGGATTTAAGTTTTTCCAAAAGTATCGATTATAATCGATTAAAAATTGATTATGTGGTTTAAATTTGACATGATAATCGATTATATTGACAACATTTTAGTCAACGAAAATCCATTATAATCGATTATTACCCATGAAATTTCGGTGCGAGTTAGCAGATATAAGATAGACGAGCAAAATGGTTTTGAACTCACCAGAACTTTGTATATGTCTAGAGTTAGCCGAAATTTAAAAACGTTTCTGACCAGAAACCAGATCAGAAATGAAATGGTCGAAAAATCCATAATTTATTTAAATATTTCACAAAAATTAAAAAACTTCAGATTAAAAATTCAGCTTGAAATTTATGTTTTTTTTTTACAGAAATAAATAGTTTGTACGTGTGCTACAGTTTCCACGGCGAGTTCTTGTCGGTGATTCATAGCTGAGTTTAAGCTCAATGCATTAAACTTCGGGTATGTATGTCCTTGTCCGCTCAACAAAAAAAAACTCGGCTCTAAAATTTTGAATTCCGACACTTAATTAGAAATGAGCGATGTATAAATAAACACTGAATATCGGTTTTGGCTAAGCACAATAAGCGGGAAAAACATAAAGAAAACGGCTGACTGAAATGATAGCAGTTTTTTTTTCAGTTTAATAGTGCAATTTACCGCAAATCAAACAATTAATCCAAGTTACATGGCTCTGAATTGTTCCTGGAATCGCGTGACTTTCTCTGTGACTGGAAGAAATTTCGTCCAAAAACCATCGATATTTATTCGTTCGTCGAAAATGACTCTTTGTCTATCAAAGTCTTCTTCTTGACGATGAAGTAGATCACAAAAATTTACTTTAGCGTCCACAATTATAATGAGCGAAAAAGACTTTGGTTGCACCAAACATTCACAGAGACGCGTTGCCGATTTGCTAGTATTCAAGAAAAAAGGACATTTTTGTACTGTTTAATTTTGATTTTCCGACCATTTTTGGTTTTTTTTTGGTTATATAATTCAGTATGAATAGTTTCATCTTTGCAACTTTTGTCACTTTCTTGGATTATCCTTTGGTTTGATGTCCCGGTGTGTTCGAAAAAGAATAGTTTTTTTGGTCAGACCAAATTTGCACCACAAAAGTTTCAGATGAAAACTTTTGCGTTAGTTTTCCAGACAAAATGGATGAGCAAAAAACTAATTTGGAATCGTGACTTGGTAAAGATATTTCCATTTATGGAAGAAGGGTGCTGATTTTGTGACATCCTTTTTCACGTTTGCTACAGCTTCCATGAATATGCTCTAAAACAAGAAAAGAAACGCAAATCTGACAATGTTTGACCCATTAGTTTTGACTCAACGTAAAATGTGTTATCTATGGCCGCTGTATGGCTTTGTAGGTCGGAATCCTTATGCTTCGACCCCCCATAGACGTAGGTTGCGGTACTGGTCGAGAAAGCGGCGGAGTAAGTAGGGCGGGGGGGGGGGGGGGCGTGGTTGGGGGTAGGGTGAATCCTTACGCTTTTTCTAATCTTCTCTTCAGGAATTCGACCCCCTTCCCACCCAAAGGCTCGCCTTCATTTTGCAATATTTTAGGACATCAATATGTGATCCAACAACACTTTCAAAAATTTTGGCATTTGGGCGACAAGATATATTAATTTTGAGGGGGAAGCGCGCGCCAAACCCACAATTTCTTTCTCACGCGGATTCAAGATACGGAGTATTTGAGTTTTTCAAAATTCGCCCCTAATGCTCCTATAAAGCCGTGCCTTTTTTCAAGGTTCTTCAGTCGAATTGTTACGAAAGCCTCAGAAAGAACTGAGAAGATTTTCGTTCACCTGATTTTGCACTAAGGACCATGTACGGACTATGGTCTTAATCTACAGATATGTGGTGCCTGGCTGATGTGGCAAGTACATGGTCTCGTCTGGCTCCATGATGTCGTGTGTGGCCGTTATGGGCTGAGGGGGCGTCATCTCTACTATGTCCTCCCAGTGTCTCATCTCCCCCTCCTCCGTGGCACTGCTGCCCAACTTCACCTGACCTATGACGTCATCGCTCCTGTAACACAAATGTGAGTCACTCAAATGTAAACAACTAAATTTACCAGTTCATGTTTAAAATTCGAGTCTACTTTGAAGATTGAGGATTACAAAACTAACGGTGTTCAAAAGGTTAACGGTGTATTAAAAAAATTTAAGTTCAACTTATGAGCTAAGGAAAAAGTTGTTTTTGGACGAGGAATATTTACACAATTTCTTTATTGCGAATAAAGGTAATGGCAATTAATTAGCTGTCAAGAGTTCAAAAGTGAGTGACACAAAAGATGCAATTGATGATGATGATACTGATGATGAATATCAAATACAAAGGAGTAAGGCTGTGCCATCAATGACGGAAAAGATCCAACCAAGAAGTTGTTCAGCTCTTTAGAACAGCAAGCGAAAAAACATCCCGGGGCGAGGTCCGCGACTCGTGTTGCGACCAAACTGGGTAACCGAAGCGGACTTTCTGTGACCGAAATTCCATGCTCCCCCAAGAGGCTTGTGTCGCGGAAAGTCGCAAAATGAGTCGCGCATTGTAGAAAGTTTTGAGCAGTTTAAGTCATGGAAATTGTTGTCGGATTTTTTTGTGCTTGCAGAAGCGTAATATGGATGCAGAATAAACCAGCTTGGTCAACATACTTGTTGATAATATACAGTACCGCCACCATAAAGCCTGCAATTGGCAACTTACCCATTTGAGTCGCAATGGTCACAACATATCTTTTTTGGGTCGTGCAAAGTCGCATAAAATTGTTGCGGTCGCGGAAAAGCGAAACATACTCATTTTGAGTCGCAATGGTCGCAACCTACTTTTTTGGGTCACGCAAACTTGCAACATAATTTTGGTCGCAATGGTCGCAAAATACTCATTTTGAGTCGCAATGTTTGTAACATAAGTCGCTGACCGCCAGCCGAGATGATTCAAAAACTACTCCATTCTTGCAGTAACACTTGATTTGAGGTATACTTATTGCACATAAAACAAAACAAGGCTGCTGGTACATCAAAACGAAGCCCTGAATGTTGGCACTGCACTTTGAGGCCAATGAAAATGTTTTAGGTTGAATAACTGATGAAATAACTTTTTTCTGTTTCCTTTTTTCTTCGTTTTATCTATTAACACACAAAATGAAGGAAAGAAGGGGTTTAATTATAATCTCGTATCTTAAAAACTTGACCAAATGACATGCCTCGTTTCAATTTGCAGCTATTTTATCCGCTGTTTACGCGTAATATAAGAACGCAATATGTGCAGTGCAAACCGTTACCCTAGTCGATCAAGGGAAATTATCTAGCAAAAAATTGCTGAATCTTCCAAAATAACCTATAATTCAAAATGCATGAATCATAACCACAACCTGAATTTTTAACTTAACGAGAATGGAAAACTGAGCTTAAATTTTTAAGACTTGGTCAACCTAATATTTTATTTGAATTTAATTTCAAAATTCTTCGTGACCGTAGTCGAATTGAAATTCCATGGTTTTTTTGGGGCTCAGAATGAAGTTTTGTGAAAAATTTTTACTGTATGCTATCTTTTAAGTTTTTGTAAGAAGCTTGGGTGCTTCTCCCAAATAGCAATGACCACATCACTTCACCAAAAAATTACAAATAAATTTTTTGATATTTGAGTTCTGGACAATAATGCATTTCAGATGATATAAAAATAATTATGTCAAATCATTTTTTTAGAAATTCAAAATTTGAGTGACTAAAAAACACGACAAATTCAAGCATAAAGGCTCCACCATTTTTTCTAAAATCGGAACAAATCAATGAAAACGCATTTTCTTGCAAAATGAACGAACATTAGAGAATTTAAACTCAATTTTTAGAATAGATGTTTTTTTTGTTTTTAATCAAGTACAGCAAAACTACATGAACTCATTCTTTAAATCACTAGTCTTGCCTCAAATAAAATTCTTACTTTTTTTTAGCAAATAAAATTCTTTTTTAGAGCGGCAAAATTTGGGTAAATTGTCCATATTGGCTGACTAATCATACGTATTTGGCGGCAACGAACAAACATAACCAATCAAAGATCGGAAAATAATAATGAACGCAAGTTAACATATCGTATCGTGAGAGTGCTATTCAGTTCACTTTCAGCAGATGAATTTCAATTGAACTCAAAAAATGCATAAATACCTAAGTCCATTCATCAATGCAAAAATAAGCTTGAATGCACATCTGTAGTTGTTAGAGCAATCTAAGAATTTTTCCTGAAAAAAAATCAGCAAGACCTACATAAGAGTCTTTACTACGTTCATTACTCTTAAAAAGCAAAAACTCGTAACGCTATGTTGTCAAGTAGCGACCGCTGGTTTCGCTGCGCTCAGCTAAATTCGATACGAGAAATTTAGTTAATGTGAATCAATAATATCCGCTCAAAAAATTATTACGATTTCTCGCTTGCTAAGATTTTTCATCTGCATTAATTGTTGTCACCTGAACTCATTTTTAAAAAAACTATTACTTTACAGCCCAGAATATCCAAGCACAATTAACCTTGCAGAGAAAAATTAAACAGCATTTTAGTACTTTCATTTTCTTCAGAAAAAATTAACACGCCAGTTTTAGTATCTTTTTACAGTAGATTAACAATCATGTCAAGGAAGAAGAAGATTTAACCTTTTTTTTGGCCGTATCTGTAAGAATGGTCAAATTTTCAGGGAAGTTTTTTTGGACAATGAGAACAGTTTTTCAAAGTTTTGTTTTTAAAAAGCGCATCAAATAGGACTTTTATGATGGTAAATTTTTCTGGAGATATTTGAAATTGGGCGGAAAAACAACCCAATTTGACTCTTTATTTTTCACTCACTTCGTTTTAGAATCCGGAAAAAAATTTGCGCCTCTGAGTTGTTTCAAATGTACTAATGATAGATTAAAAAGGTTGATACCAAGAACAACTAGACTTCTGTCAGAGAAGTCTGAACACGGACCAGAAGGTCTCATGACTATTTCTCAGACTTATGTTTGATAAATGTAAATGCGGTTTTGTAAGAATCCTTACTAGTATACTAGCTTGAAAAAATTTATTGTTCCGAAAGTGACAGAATATTTGTGCTCGGGAAGGGTTTTTTCTTCAGACAAGTTTCGACTTTTTAACTAGCCATTTTTGATGGCATTTTTATATCATTCGAAAGCCATTGTCGTCCTGAGCTTAAATTTGAAAAGATATTTCAGCTGTGATCATTTTTCGTAAAGTTATGGGGGTCTAAAGACTGCCATTTTGGCCATTTTGGGACATATAACGAATTTAAAAATGAAGCGTTCAGAAATACAAATCGTCCACCCCAGCGCAATGCCTATTGTTTGTAATTCAGAGATGCAAATTTTTGATTCAATTTTCTTGCATCCACTCATTTTGAAACGATTCCCGATACGCGAAAAAATTCGCGGCTATTAACGCGCAAGCGGAGATTTAATCCGTCTTAGAAATCGTTCCAAATTGGTTGAAAGAAGCTTATTTGCCATAATTGATTTGTTACAAGGAGCAAAAACTATTGTTTTGTACTTTATATGGCATGTGGGCGGATGATTTTCATAGAAATATTTATTGATTTTCATAAATAAAATTTTCATTTTATTTAACCTGATACGACCAATGTTGTTATTTTTAATATTACTTTTCATAAAAAGGGAAACCTTTAAACGCTTCAGCTTGTCAGTTGTTCCAGCCCAAAATCTTCTTAGACGAAAAAACACGGTTTTTTGAAAAAAATTTGTAGAGCTGTGAAAAAAATAGAAGAACATTTGAAGCTAGATCTGTCTCAAAAATTGGTTTTTAGAGAAAAATCATTTCGGTCTGAACAATAATTTAATTCGGAAAGCATCGATAAACAAAAGTTTATTGTTGGATGGCCAGCCAATGGGAAAAAGACAGCTCTTATTTGAAGTAGTTCTTCGAACAACAGTGGCGAAATTAAAAATGAAGCGTTCAGTATTCCAAATCGTCCACCCCTGCGCAATGCATATTGTTTGTAATCCACTGACGCAGTATTTTGAACCAATTTTCTTGCATCCACTCAATTTGAAACGATTCCCGATTCCGACTAATTTGAAAAAGAAACTGGTAATAAAAACTTTAACAAACAACTGGTAAAAAGCGCGAGCTAATTATCTCAAATTGGTCAAATTTGCTTCTTTTAACCCCCATTTATTTGTAAAAAAGGATTTTGGCGAAATATTTCTATATTTTTCAGCCCAAAGCAGTACAGACCATTTTACACCATTTTTTTCAAACAAGTTTTTTTTCTGCGTCGAGTGATAAACGGATCTGACATAAAACTCTGATTTAGTCATGTTCGACAATCATAGTAAAATAGGCCAATTGGACAATTTTTTTTTTGAAAAATAACTAGAAAAACAGAAAAATAAAAACAAACGTAAAAAAAAATTAACATTTTTTTCAATTCACATTTTTTTGCAGAAAGTTATTTAACTTTTCTGGATTGTTTGCTTCCTATAATGGAGTTAAAAACTCCAAAAATTAATTTTATTTGCTTAAAACCAAGTTTTTAAGCATTAGATTAGTCATAACTAACTGATGTAAGCCTGCTCGCTCGCCTAATAAATTTTTTATGAATTATTCGCGAAATAAGTCGAAAAACCAAAAACTTCATATGGGTTTTTCTCGAAACTAGGAAAAATTCTCGAAAATTTCATAATGTGGTTCAGATCACAACTGAAAAGGTTTTGATATGATATATCACTCAACCCAGTCTGGTTAATATTTCTGGTACACCTGGTTTGCGTAGTAAACAGAAAGAAAAAAAGCTATAAAAGACCCGAATACAAAGTTCCTCCTGATTTTTCAAAAAGTTCTGAACAATAAAACTGTTCTTAAGAAAGCGGAAGTATGTTATTGTGAAACAGTGACGGCTTTGAGTGACAGTGTTCTTTGTGTGCTTAGTTAGTATTTTTTATTTAATTAATTGGATGTCAAAAAAACGCGATATGATGACTGCTCTGCTGAAACTTTTTCAACCCATCTAGTTAACTTCATTTTTTAAA